TTGCCCTCCCCAATATCCGTGTCTGTTCCCTACCCTGTGCTCTACCGTCCCCTCCTTACCTGCCCTCTGCCCTCCCCCTGCCCAACCAATAAAGACTTTTTTTTTCTTTTAGTATGGATAATAATGGTCTTATGTAGTATTTGTTCTTTTGTGAATGACTAATTTCACTCAGCATAATGTCCTCAAGGTTCATCCATGTTATGTGGTGGCTTACAACCCACTTGTTATTCAAGGTAGCTTAATACTCATTGTGTGTATATACCAAGGCTTATTTATCCATTCTTCCATTGAAGGGCACTTAGACTGTCTCCATCCTTTAGCTATTGTGAATAGTGCTGCCAGGAACATTGGTGTGCATGTGTTTAGTGGTGTTATGGCTCATATTTCTTGTGGATATATACCAAGTAGAGGAATTGCTGTGTCATATAGTATTTCTATTTTCAACTCTCTGAGGAAGCACCAGCCAGTTTTCCAGAGTGGTTGGAACATTTTGCATTTCCACTAGCAATGTAGGAGTGTACCAGTCTCTCTATATCCTCACCAATGTTTATTGTCCTCTGTTTTTTTGAACTTCACTGTTTTTTCTGGTATGAGATGATATCTCATCGTTGTTTTGATTTGCATGTCTCTCATGGCTAGCGATCATAAACATTTTTTCATGTTTATTGGATTCCCAAATGTCTTCTTTGTTGAAGTGTCTTTCATGTCCTGTGCTCATTTTTAAATTGGGGTATTTGTCCTTTTCTTGTAGATGTGTTGTAGTTCTCTATAGACTTTAGAAATTAATCCCTTATGTGATATATCATTGCAAAAGATTTTTTCCCATTCTGTGGGCTCCCTTTTTACTCTTTTTGTGAAATCTTTTGATGCACATAAGTTTCTAACTTTTAGTATGTCCCAATAATCTATTTTGTCTTCTTTTGTTTGTGTAATTTTCACAATGTTTGGTAGTCTGTGTATGCCTTGTATTAGGGCCCTTAAATTTGTCCCTATTTTTTCATTAATAACCTTTATAATTCGTATCAGTGCAACTTGATATACCATGCTTTATCAATTTCAGACTGAAGAAGTTGGTAGAATTTTTCAATTTCATCATCACTGTCTTTAGAGGTTGGTGTGTAATTTGAATAATAGTGGTATTAATTGATTTTCCTTGTAAGCTTATGGATACTATCCTATCAGAGACAGCATTACACTTCAAGACACATTAAAAAATATATATCTCAAAATGTTCTTTTTAATACTGAATATGATGCCAATCATCCTGAATTTGTTGTTCCCAGAATAGTAAACCATATGATTATCTGATTCAAAATGGTCAACATCAGTTCATTTCAGCTCATTAATGCCTGGTGGTTGTGTGCTGTAGAGCCAGTTCCAACTCATAGAGACTCTGTTTGGGTTTCTGAGGCTGTAAGTCTTTATGGGAGCTGAAAGCCTCATCTTCCTCCTGCGAAATCAGTAGTACTGCTGACCGTGATATTGGCAGCCTGACTCATAACTACTATGCTACCAGAGGTCCTTATTAATACCTAAGCTATCTATTTTGATGCATTCCATTTCATTTTTGACAACTTCCAATATTCCTAGATTCATACTTTGTA